TCACCTTGTGTGTCTGTACCAAGGCTAAACATTCCAGGGTATGGAAACATTTGATCCGGGCCATTTGGGTGATTTCTGTTCTCATTATGATTTAAAGAGGAGCCAAATAACTATGTGATGACAAATGTCTTCATATGATTATTATCCTTACATAAAAGTGAAAGTGTGTCTGTGTGGGTTTCCTTGGGTTCTCCGCTTTCCTCCCACACTCCAAAGACATGATGATAGGTTATTGGATCCTGTCTAAATTGGCCCTTGTATATGAATGTGAGTTTGGGACCTTAGATTGTACGCCCCTTGAGGGTTAGGGACTGATGTGAATGTACAATATATATGTGTGAAAGCTCTGCGTAAATCGACGGCGCTATATAGTTACATATAATAAATAAATAAAAGACATTTTGTTTTTGGCATGATCAGTCATATTTTCAATATCAATGCCAACATTTCACGATTTCTGCCAGGGTATGCAAACTTTGGAGCACAACTGTATAACAGCTCACATATTCTATATGTATTTCAGCAATGCCTCCGGCTGCTTGGTTGCAGTTTTAATTTAGAGAAAAGCAATGTGTTGGTTCCTATGCAGAGAATAGTCATTATGTACACTTTAACATAAAGCATCGTTAACCGCTTTCCGACCACCCTATAGCAGATATACTGCTACAGGGCGGCACAGGTGCGCAAAATCACTTGTGTATATATACGTTATTTCACATTTCTGGGAAGGGGGCGCGTGTGCCCTATCTGCGCCGCCATTCGCAGCCTCGGCTGTCAATCACCGGGTCCTGGACGGTGATTACTCACCAGCGCCTGGTGATTGCTGAGCATCTCTGACGGGGAGGAGAACTGTTTGTAAATAAAACAGTTCTCCTCCCTGTAAGCTCATGCACACTGCTTTGGATGGCTGTGCACAGCACATCCATGCAAAGCAGTGTGATTACACTGAAGCACCAACACATGGCTCCTTAGTAAAACACTCCCAGCACACAGTTAACCCTTTGATCGCCCCTCATGTTAACCCCTTCCTGCCCAGTGCCATTAGTACAGTGTCAGTGCTTTTTTTTTTAGCACTGATCACTGTATTGATGTCACTGGGGATGTCAGTGACACCAAGTTAGTTCCCCCCAATGTCAGAATGCCTGCTGCAGTCCCACTATAAGTCACTGATCGCTGCCGTTACTAGTAAAAAAAAAAAAAAAAATTCCAGTGTATATGTTGCCATTTGTAAACACTATAACTTTCACGTAAACCAATTCATTTACACATATTGGGATTTTATTTTTTAGCAAAGACATGTAGCAGAATACATTTTGGCCTAAATTTATGATGAAATTTGTATTTTTAAAAAATTTTTATTGGACATGTTTAATAGCAAAAATTCAAAAATATTGTTTTTTTTTCTCAAAATTGTCGGGATTTTTTTTTTTTTTTATAGCACAAAAAATAAAAAACGCACAGGCGATCAAATACCACCAAAAGAAAGCTCAATTTGTGGGAAAAAAAGTTGTAATTTGGGTGCAGCGTTGCATGATCGCGCAATTGTCAGTTAAAGTAACGCAGCGCCGTAATGCAAAAAAGGGCCTGGTCATGAAGGGGGTGGGGTAAATCCTCTGGAGGACAGGGGGTTAATGTGTGTCCTATGGCCTGTTTAGAGTATTATGCAGGTTGTTATGATAAGTAAGTGGTTAAATCTTTACATAGATCTTTTTTGGATCAATAGTTTCCTGCATGGCTTGAAATCAATGACATGTTACATAAGAATGTTCCCAGCCAAGATTATGTAAGGCTATCAGATTAAACGCAGGGAGGTATACATGACATGGAGCTAAACTGTACGGGTAAAAGGATTGCCCGTCTCAGTGCTATTAGCAGATCTGAAAACTCTCTGGGTGACTGATTCAGAACAATGATTCCTATATAACAGGCTTTGAAACTTCCCAGCTCAATAGCATTTGTTTGATGGAGAGTAATCGTCACTATTTAACGAACGCCATTGTGTGACACAGCAATGATCCATTAGGCTTGCTGTACTCCAAGATGTCTGGGAAATTCACCGCTGGACATTCAGTCACAATTAAAGCAAACCTATGATTTTCTTGTGCAGTGCAAAGCAAAAGGTTGACTTTAAAGCTGAACTCCAGCAAGCAGCAATGGAACCCTACTCACAAGTTACATACTTACCTTGTGCAAAAACACTCCATTTCTTTGTCTTTATGCAATTTCGTATCCCCCAAACACACCCTGTTCTGTCTCAGCTGTCATTTTATGCATTGGCATACCTCCATAGATTTCAATCTGTACGGAAAGTATGAGAGTCTGCTGATTCAGCAGCATCCACAGACAGCTTAACTCTCCAATAAGCCTCAGAGGTTGTTTTCAGTGTAGTTTTACATTACAGAGGATTTTTTTTTTTCAGTCATTTAGCCCAGGTTCACACTGATGCGCTGCAGAATTCTCACCGGTTTCTGTGCGATTTACGCACCGCATCAGAACATCAATAATATAAAAAAACCCAGTACAACTACAGAAAAATACTTTATCGGTGGGACACAACATGTCCCTTATGCCTCCTGTTTAGTGTATCTTTGGGGCTGTGAGATCAGGCACCACTTTTTTCTCCCTGTTTAGTTTACAGAAGGAGCAGTGAGGTGATGCTGTCATGCGGGCGGGGACGGGGGCGATCTCAACAGCACCCCAGCTGTGACCCACCCACAACCATTGATTGGCATCTGCCCCTCATAGCCCTGAGCTCCACCTGTATTCCCGCCCACCTCGTCAGTGCATTCCTATCAAATCATTTAAAACTTAGTTCAGCTTTCCTCTGCCAGACGCATAGATCATCCCCACTACGTCTAGGAAGAGTACATTTTTCTGATGCAACAAGGCATTAGTTACAATTTTACAGTGTTTTTATTGGTCATGGGAAGTTTATTGGTCATGGCAAGAGGGGGCCAAGGTCCCAAAGCGGGCAGGATCCTGGATTCCGGATTTAATGCCCATGCCCCCAGTTGCACATACTCATCCTCCCTTTGCTCCAACAGGTGATGGAAATCCCCAGTGTCCAGTATAGAGAAGCATGTCCCCGTGTGCCTAGCAGTGTCACTTGGGGGCAGGGTAAGTCTTGTTCTCTTTGCAAAGGCCACTTTCACACTGATCTGTAGAAAAAACTTCATTTGCGTTGCATTTTTTTTTTCACAGGGCATGTGACTCAAAAACGCACCAAAAATGCAACACTGGTGCATTTTTTATGTGTTTTTTACCACGGTTTGTATTGATTTCAATGGGGAGGTCTGTTTTTTGGGGGTTTTTTATTTACCGGACGAAAAAGGCAGCAAGCAGGATTTTAAAAACTGCAACGAATCAGTGTGAAGAGTTCCAACGGAACACGGGTTCACATGTTTTCTAGCACTTTTTTGTAACGCAAAAGTAGGAGAAAAATGGATCAGTGTGAAAGACGCCAAACTGCAACCGGAGCAACATGGAGCTTTGGCCGGGCTGTCATTCTTTGCTGCTGAGTATGTACAGCTGCCAACTAGGAATTAAAGTGAACCTGTTGCTTTGCTCTGCATGAAAATCCCAGAGTTAAATTGTGAATAAACCAGTTTCTGCAGAGCAGCACTCGCTATATACAGTGGTAGATTTCAGTGCAGGAGGGACATGAATGCAAATAAAAGTGTTCAATAAAATCCAAACAAAAAAATAATTTATTGCATCTAACCAGCCTTTAGATGTGGTGGCTGCATTACTTTTCTTTTTGCAGACTTGTTTTCCTTTATTTTCACCTAACGATCCTACCAGTAACATACCTCATGTTCTAGGATGGCAGTACAATATCAGGACAACAGAAATGGAACAGAACTACAGATCTCTCTACCTCTATCGCTCTTCTTTTCCATAACATGGGTAGGTGGGAATTCAGTAGTCCTCAAAAAAGTTGGTCAGGGCAGTGGCTAAATGGTTAGCACTTTCACCTGGCAGTACTAGGGTTGTTGGTTCAAATCCCAGCTACGGCACCTCCTGCCTGGAGTTTGCATGTTCTTCCTGTGCCTGCGTGGGTTTCCTCTGGGTAATCCAGTTTCCTCCCACACTCCAAAGACATGCTGGTAGGTTAATTGGATCCTGTCTAAAATTGGCCCTTGTATATGAATGTAAGTTAGGGACCTTAGATTGTACACCCCTTGAGGGTTAGGGCCTGATGTGAATGTACAATATATATGTAAAGCGCTGCATAAATTGATGGTGCTGTATAAGTACCTGAAACAAATAAATAAGTTGGGAAAAATAGGAATTCAAGTGATATTAACCACTTGGCACTGACCGCCTCCCAGCCCTTTAAAGTTTCTAAGAGGCAGAGGCTGGCCTTCAGCTCTTTGACTGCTGTGATTGGCTGTCACATGTTTGGAAAGCTGCCTATCACGAATAGCTTACCGATCACTGGTGGCTACTGTGATCCACTGTTTGAGGAGGGTGGATGTTTGCAATGCTCAGTCCAGAAAGTGTTGCAACTATGTGGTGTAAGGATGCTACACACTGCCAGCTCAAAGTGTAAGAATGGCCCTGCTCCTCCTGGGCTGTGCCCCCTGACACATTTCACCCCGCCCCCAAGGCTTAGTCATAGAGAGCTCTACAAGTAAGCCCTGGGGGTGGGGTGAAATGTGTGAGACATGGCCTAGGTTTTTTTTTTTGTTTTTTTTATTATCAAACAGGTATATCAAAACACTTTTAATGGTATAACATTTTTAAAAATGAAATAAAAAACCTATTAAATGAAACAAGGGGGACCAAATAAGAGCAGTTCATTGTTGGGGGTTACATACACTTTAAGGAAACCAATACACAAAGAAACGTAGAGGCTCTCATGGGGTTGATTTACTTTTGAATACTTTTTCTGCTCTACCAGTTGAGTTTGGACTTTTAGGAATTCATTGTATTGAGAAAGCAGACTTCATATCTTCTCCATGCTTTCATTAGTCAAGTAATTTTCCTATTGTCCACAGCACAGTCTCGCCCGGGAAAACCAAAAGTGACCAGCTGCCGGTCGTATGACAAGGAAACGGTCACTTGCTGGTGGGAGCCGGGGTCGGATGGAGGACTGCCAACAAACTACAGTGTCCTCTACTGGACGGAGAGGTAAGACCTATCTGATTCCAACAAATCGCCTTCTTTTCCCTGACCCACTGCTGTAATTTGTTCTTGCCACTAGATAGCATCCATAATTCATGCAGATACAGTACATTTATTCAAGTATACCTAAAGGCAAAACTTTTTTTTTAGTTCTGGATAGAGTGCAGAGGGATTGGAACCCCTGTCAGGTTGGTATTCTCGCCTTTGCTCCCGCTAGGAAGAGTCATCCTCACTATTTTTATCACTGAGAGTGAAAGTGAAAGACAATCCCAATTTTTGGGTTGACACAAGAACAGAGGAAATCTGTCTAGTTCTGGTGACGACCAAGGACTCCCTTACTTTGGAAGTTTTGGCTATGTTACAGGAAGTGAAGGGAAATCTCCCCAAAGGGACACAGATGGAAAAAATTAAATTGGAAGGGGTTATAACCCTCCCTTATGCTATCCAAAATGGAAAAAAAAAAAAGAATTGCCTCTAGTTCCGCTTTCAGTTTGCATAGGCAGATCAGTGAAAGAAGAGTTCTGTTTGGTGGCAGTATTTTATTTTTATTTTTTACAGGTATAGTTCTGTGAATATATTCAGCGCTTTACATATATATTGTACATTCACATCAGTCCCTAACCCTCAAGGGGCGTACAATCTAAGGTCCCTAACTTACATTCATACATACACATACTAAGGACAATTTTAGACAGGATCCAATTAACCTATCAGCATGGCTTTGGACTGTGGGAGGAAACCAGAGTACCCAGAGGAAACCCACACAGGCAGAACATGCAAACTCCAGGCAGGTGGTGCTGTGGTTGGGATTTGAACCAATGACCCTAGTACTAGCCAGGCAGAAAAGCTAACCATTTAGCCACTGTGCTGCCCATGTAGTAGAATACTTTTAGACACTGCACTTTGGATTTTGGACAAAACCTGATAAATCCACTATCAAGTTTTTTTTTTTTTAATCGAGTCTCATTGGATCGGTTTTCCTTCACCTCCTATGCCCAAGAAAGAAGAGGAAGTGACATAAAATCACTAAGAAGGGGAAATCCCTTTTCACTGAAACAGGTGTACCTTGTGAGAGATTTTCTCTCTATTCCTGTAACAGTTTATATTTCCCAGCATCTTCTGACAATGGTCACCAGGACAGAGAGGAGGAATCACCCCAGCATTGTCCACACCTCCACTCTCCAAATAAAAATAAAAAACTACTGTATATATTTTTTTAACCACTTGCCAACTGCGCTTCAGCCAAAATACAGCTACATCACAGCCGTCCAGTTTTGGGAGGACGTCAGTGGACGTCCTGCCAGAACCGCTCCTCCCACGTGCCTCCTGGGGACCGCTGATCACAGATCGGGTGAAGGGCCAATCACAACGGCCTTTTACCATGTGATTGGTTGTGTTCAATCGCAGCTGATCACATGTAAACTTACTTGCTGGTTATAAGCAGTCCTTTCCTCTGTGTGAGAGAAAGGACAGCCAATAACCGGCAAGGCTGTCAGTACATAGTGTGCACTGAAAATCAGTGCCCTGATTGTCAGTGCAGCCCCATCAGTGCCGATCAGTGAAGTTTACCAGTGCCCATCAATGCAGCCTATTAGTGCCACCTATAAGTGCCGCCTCTTCAATGCAGCCTCACTAGTGCTTCCTCACCAGTGCCCATTAGTGCAGCTTCAGCTGGGTCCCATCAGTGCAGCTCATCAGTGTACATCAGTGAAGAAAAAAATGACTTATTTGCAAAATAAATGAAAGTGAAAAACTTTTTTTTTTTAAAATTTTTGGTCTTTTTTCGCGTGTTCAGCAAAATAAAATCCACTGGTGATCAAATACCACCAAAAGAAAGCTCAATCTGTCTAAAAAAAAATTTGTAAAAATGTCATATGGGTACAGTGCTGCATGACTGAGTAATTGTCATTCAAGGTGTGATAGCACTGAAAGCTGAAAAGTGGCCTGGGAGATTTTGAATAGTCTGCTTTCCCCAGGATCCTGGCTAACCCTTGCCCCATGGGCGCAAACCAGGGTCAGACAAGTACATTTAAATACTTTGGGGTTGATTTACTAAAACTGGAGAGTGCAAAATCTAGTGCAGCTGCACATGGTGGCCAATCAGCTTCTAAGGCTGGCCATACACTATACAATTTTCTTACAGTTTTCTGATCAATTTCTGCCCAATTTCCTTTAGATTTACCTTCCACTATGTAGTGCAAGGGCCTGTCTGATTAGATACAATTGAAAGTGTTGTTTAGGTTAGACTTCATATTATATGGATTTTGGTGAATCTAAAGCAAACATCTCAGGAAAATGGTATAATGTATGGCCAGCCTAACTTCAGCTTGTTCAATTAAGCTATTACAATATGACAATAAGACTGACCATACACTATACAATTTTCTTGAGAATTTTGCTTTAGATTTACCAAAAGCCATATAATATGAGGTCCAACCTAAACAACACTTTCAGTTGTATCCAATTAAGCAGGCCTTTGCACTACATAGTTGAAGGTAAATCTAAAGGAAATTGGACAGAAAATTGTATAGTGTATGGCCAGCCTAATGCAGGCCATCGATGGGTCGAAAATCGGCCGTTTTTTCTTTAAATAAAACGAAAAATTGCTCGTTCAAGCGGCTGACGTTACCAGCAACGGTTAAAAAAAATCGGCCGATTTTCGACCCATCTATGGCCTGCATTAGTCCTCATGCACAGGGGACGTTTTGATAACGCTGGTAACATTAGCTGTGTAAAGTCACGTTAAAAATGTGAGTTTTTCAGCTTCTTTTTAGCGTTTTTGCATTAGTGTTTAGCGGCATTTTGCCACGACTAGCAGCGTTTTCCCGTATTTTGCCTCATTTGCATTTTTTGTTGTTTTTTTAGCAGTTTTTTTTACAAAAAAAAAAATATTCAAATAAAACGGTTTGGGTCGCTTTGCCGCATTTTTCAGCATTAGAGCGTTTTTTACAGCTAAAAAACTTCTCTAGAACCCCACTAGTCCTGCAGCCACAAAACGTCCCAGCCAAAAAACGTTGATTACAGTGTATGTGTGCACGGACACATAGGATAACATGCTGGGGGGGGGTTTACTGGCTGTAGAAAAAAACGTCAAAAGCCAAAAACAGGCGCTGTAAAAACATCCCGTGTGCGTGAGGACTAAAACTTGGAAGCTGATTGGTTTCTATGCACAGCTGCACCATATTTAGCAATCTCCAGTTTGAGTAAATCAGTCCCTTTTGGTTTTTTTGAAGGTTTTATTTTTTTACTGAAAACTGTTATTTATGATAATGGAGGCGGCTCTTATATATTTAGAGGATCTTTCATTTTTACTTCTGTGGGTTTTATATTATCTCTCATTATTTGTATTTCCAGATCGGAAACAGAACAAGAATGCCCAGACTATCACACCTCAGGGCCATACACCTGCTTCTTTGATAAGACCCATTCCTCTCTCTGGATGTACTACTTTGTCTATGTGAATGCAACAAATGCATTGGGATTCAATGTGTCAGATATTTATCGGTTTGAGATCCGTGATGTAGGTAAGAGGATGCAAATCACAAACAAAAGCTTTTTGTACATCGCATTTTCTTGTTCTAGGAAATGTGAACTAGTCTCAAATAAAGTGAGATTACCCGGAGTGGCCATACTGGGTTTTCTGCTTTTGATTTATCAGATTCCATCGTATATCTCTTAATGTGATGCTAAAGGCTTGTTCATTTCCTAAAATAAAAATATAGACTATACTTACTTGTGCTGCGTGAAGATATTGCACAGAACGGCCCCAATCCTCTTCATCTGTGCTCCTCAATATAGAAATCACAACCGGCAATCAGTTAAAACAGTGAAAAATTGACTCAACCTTTGTTTTGTGTGTCTCTGTGTACCACATGGAGCACGGAGAAGAGAATGAGAAGCAAAGAATTGTCTGAGGATTTGAGAACAAACATTGTGGAAAAGCATGGACAATCTCAAGATTACAAGTCTATCTCCAGAGATCTTAATGTTTCTGTGTCCACTGTGCACAACATTGTCAATACGTTTACAGCCCATGGCACTGAAGCTAGTCTCCCTGAATGTGGAAAAGCATGGGCAATCTCAAGATTACAAGTCTATCTCCAGAGATTTTAATGTTTCTGTGTCCACTATGCACAACATTGTCAATACGTTTACAGCACATGGCACTGTAGCTAATCTCCCTGAACGTGGACGAAAGAGAAAAATGGATCAAAGATTGCAACAAAGGATTATTCGAAGGGTGACTGAAGAACCTCGATCAACTTCCAGACAAATTCAAGCTGACCTTAAGGCACAGGGTACAACTGTCAGCTCGCACTATATGTCGCCATCTGAATGAAAAGGGATGCTATGGTAGGAGACCCAGGAGGACCCCACGTATTGGGATTTTTTTTTTAGCTAAGACATATAGCAGAATACATTTTGCCCTAAATTTATGATGAAATTTGATTTTTTTTTATTTTTTTAACTGGACATTTAATAGCAAAAAGTCAACAATATTGTTTTTTTCTCAAAATTGTTGGTCGTTTTTTTGTTTATAGCACAAAAAATAAAAAACGCACAGGTGATCAAATACCACCGAAAGAAAGCTTTATTTGTGGGAAAAAAGGGATGTAAATTTCATTTGGATGCGGCATTAAGTGAACATGCAATTGTCAGTTAAAGTAACGCAGTGCATATTGCAAAAAATGGCCTGGTCAGGAAGGGGGAGTAAATCCTCTGGAGAGCAAGTGGTTAATTTCAGCTGTATATACATTGAATGCAAAATTAACAAAAATTCAAAAGACATAAAAAATGTATCTAGTGTGAACTTTAAAACAGCTGACAATGTGAACTGATTAAAAATACACTATTGGCATGCACAGTGCAGCCCACAGCAGCCTCTGGAGTGAATAAGTGCATGCAACTACACTACACTGACGTACAAAGCTGTCCACCATACTGCCCCAAACTACATCACCGACCTAATATCCAAGTACCGCCCAACACGCACACTCCGCTCCTCACAAGACCTCCTTCTCTCTAGTTCCCTGGTCTCCTCCTCCCATGCCCGCCTCCAGGACTTCTCCAGGGTGTCACCCATCCTCTGGAACTCCCTGCCCCAACCCATCAGACTATCACCTACTCTCCTCTCCTTTAGGCGCACCCTGAAAACCCATCTCTTCAGGGAAGCCTACCCCATGCCCTGCTAACCTGCCGACCTCTTCCACTCTTCCTACCACTCCATCCCCCACAGCTATCTCCTCCTGTACCACCATCCCATCCCCTCTAGATTGTAAGCTCCAAGGAGCAGGGCCCTCAATCCCTCATGTTTTGCATGTCACATTTTGCATTGTACAGTTGGTATTGTTCTGTAGAAACACATGTGTCTGTCCCCCTTTGTAAATGTGAATATACAGTGCTGAGCGAACTATTGGCGCTTTATAAATACTGTATAATAATATTCATTAATAATAATTAATAATAATAATAATAATAGTATCCAACAATTTAATAAAGATTTACACTCACAAAAAGGGTGTCTTCACCAACACCAGTATAACAGCATAAAACAGCAAATGGTAAAACATAGAAAAGTGACGGCAGAAAAAGACCTACTAGTTTTCGTATAAAAACACAACTTTTAAATTAAAAATCAAAAATAACATTATTATATAAAATCATTAAAAATTAAACTAACACAGGGTGCATCGAGTCTGCTCATTTTCTCCACAAACGTCAGCATTAAGCCCTACTAGTTTCATTTTTTTGTGTGTTTGTGTCTTATTTTTTGTGTGTGTTTTTTTGTTTTGGGGGGGGGGGAGACTAAAGACACACAGCTCTATTAAGAAATGGAAATGTTTCATAAAAAATAATATAAGGTATACATCCGAATGATGTAGATGGGAATGTGTGATTTATTTTGAATTATTCATCCTCTGGTGTGCACAGGGGAGGGGAGAGTGTTTAGTTTGGATCCTTTTCAGAAAATGTCACCCATGAAACACAACCTCAGCTTCAGGATGACATGCCTGTCCCTGACCTCGGGCCTTCCATCTATATGCTTCATAAACTGGCTTAACCGACAAGCTGTGCAATCCTATAGCCGATGTGTATTTATAGCTGCCGGACTATAAATACACGCATGTTATCTGTAGCAGGCAAATCTCCTATAATGGCTTACACAGGCTTGGTGTGCTGCCTCTACAAGGATGACAGACGCCATCAATATTGCTGTGTGTTCATATATGTGTGTTTCTGGGGGGGTCTGGGTATGGGAATATCAGCTGAATAAGGGACTGTGTTGGTGGACTAAGGCTGCTACCACATTGATCCGCTCTTGGTGCGTTCTTCAGTTAAAAAAATCGGAATAAAACTGCATCCCTTTAAATGCCATGTAGTTCTTCACAGTGGTCAGTTGCACTTCAGTTGCAGTTTAAAAAAAAAAAAATCTAGCTTGCTGCATTTTCGGTGCATCTTTGGTATGGCACCAAAAATACATCCCTCCCATTGAAATAAATGGAAACCGCATCAAAATCGCAACGCACCTGCAGAAAGTTCTCAAGCCACGGTTTACAGAATCGCATGAAATCTCATTATATTTAATGGTGCCCTTCTAATCAGCTCAGCACAGTGCGATTTTGGAAAAGGTTCCTGGTGGACTTCAGTGCGAATTCAGCCCAATAGACTTCAATGTTATCTCACAGAAGTCGCATCAGAATAGATGAGAAGAATACCTATATGACTTTGGTGGATTCAGTGTTTTGTGTTTTGTTTTTTTAACCCTCAACTCTCCTTCCTGGTCATTCTTCATCCAAGGATTTTGATGCAAGTGCAATTTTAGAGCCTTCCTTCTTTCCATCGATCGAACAATCTCTGATCGATGAAATGACCCTTTCTTTGATCGATGGGTCGATCGACCCTTCCTTTGATTGACGGAGGAATTGACCCTTCCTTTGATCGATGGATGGATTGACCCTTCCTTTGATCGATAGATTGACCCTTCCTTTGATCGATGGATGGATTGACCCTTCCTTTGATCGATGGATGGATTGACCCTTCCTTTGATCGATGGATGGATTGACCCTTCCTTTGATCGATGGATGGATTGACCCTTCCTTTGATCGATTGATTGATTGACCCTTCCTTTGATTGATTGGTTGACCCTTCCTTTGATGGATCAGTCGACCCTTTCTTTGATTGATGGATCGATTGACCCTTTCTTTGATCGATCAGTCGGTCGACCCTTCCTTTGCTCCATCAGTCGGTCGACCCTTCCTTTGCACAATCAGTCGGTCGACCCTTCCTTTGCTCAATCAGTCGGTCGACCCCTCCTTTTGCTCAATCAGTCGGTCGACCCTTCCTTTGTGCAATCATTCTGTTGACCCTTCCTTTGCTCAGTCGATCGACCCTTCCTTTACTCAATCAGTCAGTCGACCCTTCCTTCAATCGATCAATCAGTTGACCCTTCCTTCAATCGATTGACCTTCTTTTCCATCGATCAAGCCCTTTTTTTTTCTTCGATTGGTCAATCCTTCGATTGATCGATTGACCCTTCTTTCGATCGATCTTTCCTTCAATTTATTGACCTTTTCTTTAATTTTTTTGAACCTTCCTTCAGTTGATCAAAAGAACGATCGATTGATCCTTCAAAGGATCGATTGATCAAAGGAAGGATCCATCAAAGAAACGAATGGTCAATCAGTTGAGGAAAGGATCAAAACTGCTTCAGTGTGAACTTTGGTTTTAGGTAGCAAGGATGAGGGAGGAGAGGTGAAGGTTAAAAAAAAAAACTGATCCATTAAAGTCGCATAGGAATGCTTCTTATCTATGCTGATGTGACTTCTGTGAGATAACATAGAAGCCTATGTGGCTGAAATTGCATTGAAGTCACGTCATGTGATTTCCCTTGTCATGCAATTCTGTGAACCCAGGCTTGAGAACTTCTACAGGCGCACTGAAGTCTCATCAAAGTCGCATCAATGGTAACACTGGAAATCGTGGGAAGTGATATGGGGAAAATGCAACGCAAATGCATAAAAAAAGCATAATGTGCTGCATTAAATTTAACGCAATGCGGGAAAACGTGACAAAACCGCATATGCGTTTTTTATACAGAGCAGTTCGAATGTAGCCTTAGGGCTGCAAGTGCATTGTGCTTCTTACATCAATTTGAGGCTCTTCTGAGATCAATCAGAATTTAGTTGAGGTGCAGCTGACCTGTCGTGATATGAATTGACCTGAACTAAAGCCTGTCAACCCTGACCCTAATATCTCCCCAATTCCAAACAGAATCCAGACATTTTCCATTAAAGCTGGCCATAGATGGATCGACCTTCAGACGGTTCAGCAGGGACTGGTCGAATTTTGATCAATCTATGTCCGCTTTCACTCAGCAGAAATTGATCTAAAGATTGACTGTTATCAAACAGAATGTTGGAAAATGTTTGCTCAGCACCTGCAGCCATTACAATTGCAGCGGTGATCAGTGTATTCTGACATTGGAGGAGTCTTCGCTGTCAGAATGCAATTACACACAACGGGAGGATTCCTCCATCCACCTCACTTGTGTTATATCTGGCTGGTCAAGATTTACAAAAAAATCTAAAAAAAAAAGATTCATGTGCAGCCTAAGGCCCCAATTCACACCTGAGTGATTTGTAGCTCGAATCTCCAAAACGAGGGGGAAAAAATTAATGAATTTCAATGGAGCTGGTTCACATCTCCACTCCAAGTCTCCTGAAGCCAAATTGCCTGAAGCTCAAAATAGTTCTGGAACTTTTTTTGTTGCGCAAATCGGGAAGATTTACATGTTTTTAAACGTTTCATTCCATAGAAATAAATGGAAACGCGTGATTTGTGTGTTTCTCACGTGCATTTTTGGAGCGTTCTTCCGCTCAAATGGAAATATATAAATAATAATAAATGAATAAATAAATGTTAAATAACATAAATACACAAATAAATAAAAATAATCATAAATAAAATAAATACGTAATAAATAATGATTAACCCCCTAACCCTAAAAACAAAAATTATATAAACTAATAATAATAAAATAATAATAAATTACCACCCAAACAATAAATAAATTATTATTATTAATGCTAATAATATTAATAATAGTACAAATAACACCCTAATAATACAATAAAATATTAACCCTTATCTCCTATCCCTAATCCTAACCCTAACACCTAACATTAACGCTAACCTCTTACACTAACAAAAATAAATAAATAACAAATAAATAATGATAAAAAAATTAAAAGCTGATGGAAACGCTAAAAAAGATGAAAACCTAGCAACAAATGATGAAACAGATGCTGTTTTTCCCTACTGGCTATTTAAAAAAAAAATGCCAAAGCTTAAAAACGCTTTAAAGCACGCATACAAACGCGCTAAAAACTGCGACTTTGATGCATCTTTACACTCGCTGGCACTCAAGTATCATCAAAGTCGCATCCAAGTCGCACTCATCCAAAGTTGCACAAAAGTCACATCAAGGTTGCACCCACCCAAAGGCACATCAAAGTCAATACTTTCCTATTGACAAAAAAATAAAAATGCACAACGTATCAAAAATGCAGCAAAAACATGTTTAGAAATGCAAAACGCACTGTGAAATCGCACAATCCACAATTGACATAGATGTGAACCTAGCCTTAGTGTGCAGCTCCCCACTCAGTCCTCCCTTATACTTACCTGAGCCCTGCCAGTGGAGGGGGGGGGGGGTGGGACTGAGCCACGCTGTATATGCCCCATAGACGCACAGAGCTGGCTAGGGAGCGAGCACACATGGATCCCTGGCAAAAGGGAGAGGAGGGGCCAGAAGTGCCAGCAGGTGATCCAAAAAGAGGAGGATCAGGGCTGCTCTATGCAAAATCATTACACAGAGCAGGCAAGTGTGATTTGTTTTATTTTAAAGAAAAAAAATGAACTTTTAGAACCTTTTTAATTTTCTGATTAAAGTCCCCCTTTAATTCTCATTGTGTTTCTGTTTATTCAATATTAGTCTTTGTTTCCTGCAGTGCAACCGTACCCACCCAGAAATCTGACCCTTGTCTATGAACCTGAAAAGTCCAGTCTACCCTATCTGCTTGTGGCATGGGTCCCACCTGAGAAGGCTGATGTGAAAATGGGCTGGATCACTCTTCAGTATGCAGTCCGACTGAAGGAGGAGAAGAAGCATGTGTGGGAGGTGAGAATGCAATGTTTGATATCAGAGAAATGATACCGGTCCAAAACATTTCAACTTTAAAGAACGTGAAGAGAGTTTTCTTCTTTTTCTTTAAGTTTATGTTTAGATAAATCTGAGATATTACACATAAATCTGTAATATAGGGTGTCCTAAAGCCTGGACACATAGGCAAAATGCATATTTTCCATATCTACAATGTGATTTCCACCATTTGTGATGCAGAGTTCCATACGCTTTGCAAGATTCACATGAACCCGATGCAGTAACTCCACATTTCCGTCAGTTGAGCACATTCATTCATGATGTGGTCCTTTAGGTGATTCATATGTGAGATTTTCATTGAGTATACCTCCTCCTTTAGCATACCCCAAAAAAAGAAGTGATATATTATAGACACACACACACACACATATACAGTCATGGCCGAAATTGTTGGCACCCTTGATATTTCTCCAGGAAATCATGTATTTCTCACGAAACGTATTGCATTAACACATGTTTTGCTATACACATGTTTATTCCTTTGTGTGTATTGGGACAAAACAAAAAAAGGGAGGAAAGAAAGCAAATTCGACATAATGTCACACAAACCTCCAAAAATGGGCTGGACAAAAGTATTGGCACCCTTTCACAACTGCGGATAAATAAGAATGTTACAAGCATGTGATGCTCCTGTAAACTCACCTGGGGCAAGTAACAGGTGTGGGCAATATAGAAATCACACCTGAAAGCAGATAAAAAGGAGAGACGTTCACTTAACCTTTGCATTGTGTGTCTGTCTGTGCCACACTAAGCATGGACAACAGAAAGAGGAGACGAGAACTGTCTGAGGACCTGAGAACCAAAATTGTGGCAAAATATCAACAATCTCAAGGTTACAAGTCCATCTCCAGAGAACTAGATTTGCCTTTGTCCACAGTGCGCAACATTATCAAGAAGTTTGCAACCCATGGCACTGTAGCTAATCTCCCTGGTCGTGGACGGATGAGGAAAATTGATGAAAGATTGCAACGCAGAATAGTCCGGATGGTGGATAAGCAGCCCCAAACATGTTCCAAAGACATTCAAGCTGTCCTGCAGGCTCAGGGAGCATCAGTGTCAGCGCGAACTATCCGTCGACATTTAAATGAAATGAAACGCTATGGCAGGAGACCCAGGAGGACCCCACTGCTGACACAGAGACATAAAAAAGCAAGACTACAGTTTGCCAAAATGTACTTGAGTAAGCCAAAAGCCTTCTGGGAAAACGTCTTGTGGACAGATGAGACCAAGATAGAGCTTTTCGGTAAAGCACATCATTCTACTGTTTACCGAAAACGGAATGAGGCCTACAAAGAACAAAACACACAGTACCTACGGTAAAATATGGTGGAGGTTCAATGATGTTTTGGGGTTGTTTTGCTGCCTCTGGCACTGGGTGCCTTGACTGTGTGCAAGGCATCATGAAATCTGAGGATTACCAAAGGATTTTGGGTCGCACTGTAGGGCCCAGTGTCAGAAAGCTGGGTTTGCGTCCAAGATCCTGGGTCTTCCAGCAGGACAATGACCCCAAACATACGTCAAAAAGCACTCAGAAATGGATGGCAAAGAAGCGCTGGAGAGTTCTGAAGTGGCCAGCAATGAGCCCAGATCTAAATCCCATTGAACACCTGTGGAGAGATCTTAAAATTGCTGTTGGGAAAAGGTGTCCTTCCAATAAGAGAGACCTGGAGCTGTTTGCAAAGGAAGAGTGGTCCAAAAATCCGGGTGAGAGGTGTCAGAAGCTTATTGATGGTTATAGGAAGCGACTGATTTCAGTTATGTTTTCCAAAGGGTGTGCAACCAAATATTAAGTTAAGGGTGCCAATACTTTTGTCCAGCCCATTTTTGGGGTTTTGTGTGACATTATGTCATATTTGCTTTTCTGCCTCTGTTTTATATTTGTTCCAATACATACAAAGGGAATAAACATGTGTATAGCAAAACATGTGTTAATGCAATACCTTTTTTGTGTGAAATACTTGATTTTCAGGAAAAATATCAAGGGTGCCAACAATTTCGGCCATGACTGTATACACACACAGTGCCTGCCTTGAAAAAGTATTCATACCCCTTGAAATTTTCCACATTTTGTCATGTTACAACCAAAAACGTAAATGTATTTTATTGGGCTTTTATGTGATAGACCAACGCAAAGTGGCACAAAATTGTGAAGCGGAAGGAAAATGATAAATGGTTTTCAAAATTTTCCACAAATATCTAAAAAATGTGGCATGCATTTGTATTCAGCCCTCTTTGCTCTGATACCCTAACTAAAATCTAGTGGAGCCAATTGCCTTCAGAAGTCACCTAATTAGTAAATAGAGTCCACCCTGTATGTAGTTTAATCTTATTATAAATACAACTGTTCTGTGAACCACTCAGCAGATTGTTAGAGAACATTAATGAACAGACAGCATCATGAAGGCCAAGGAACACACCAGACAGGTTGGGGATAAAGTTGTAGAAACGTTTAAAGCAGGGTTAGGTTATAAACAAATATCCCAAGCTTTGAACATCTCACGCAGCACTGTTCAATCCATCCTCCGAAAATGGAAAGAGTATGGGGCAACTGCAAACCCATCAAGACATAGCCATCCACCTAAACTGACAGGCCAGGCAAGGAGAGCATTAATCAGAGAAGCAGCCAAGAGGCCCATGGTAACTCTGGAGGAGCTGCAGAGATCCACATCTCAGGTGGGAGAATCTGTCTACAGGACAACTATTAGTTGTGCACTCTACAAATCTGGCCTTTATGGAAGAGTGGCAAGAAGAAAGATATTGTTGAAAGGAAGCCATAAGAAGTCCTGTTTGCAGTTTGCGAGAAGCCATGTGGGGGACACAGCAAACATGTGGAAGAAGGGGTTCTGGTCAGATGAGACCAAAATATTACTCTTTGGCCTATAAGCAAAATGCTATGTGTGGCGGAAAAATAACACTGCAAATCACCCTGAACACACCATCTCCACCGTGAAACATGGTGGTGGCAGCATCATATTGTGGGGATGCTTTTCTTCAGCAAGAACAGGGAAGCTGGTCAGAGTTGATGGGAAGATGGATGGAGCCAAATACAGGGCAATCTTAGAAGAAAACCTGTTAGAGTCTGCAAAAGCCTTGAAACTAGGGCGGAGGGTCACCTTCCAGCAGGACAACGACCCGAAACATCCAGCCAGAGCTACAATGGAATGGTTTAGATCAAAGCATATTCATGTGTTAGAATGGCCCAGTCAAAGTCCAGACCTAAATCCAAAGGAGAATCTGTGGCAAGACTTGAAAATTGCTGTTCACAGATGCTCTCCATCCAATCTGACAGAGCGTTGTGAGCGATTCTGCCAAGAAGAATGGGCAGAAATGTCCCTTTCTAGATGTGCAAAGCTGGTAGAGACAACCCCAAAAAGACTTGCAGCTGGAATTGCAGCGAAAGGGGGTCCTACAAAGTATTGACTCCAGGGGGCTGAATACAAATGCTGCCACACTTTTCACAGATTTTTTTTCGCATTTTCGTTCCACTTCACAATTTTGTGTCACTTTGTGTTGGCCTATCACAATAAAATACATTTACGTTTTTGGTTGTAAGATGAAAAACTGTGAAAAATTTCAAGGGGTATGAATACTTTCTCAAGGCACTGTACACCTATAGAGAGATGTCCTATGTGTCCAGACTTTAGGGACACTCTGTAATTCCTCTTTTGCAGCCAGAAGGTAGTATGTACAAATCTGGTACTCTGGAGCGGTGTTTTTCAACCTTCTTTCAGTCAAGGCACCCTTTAGAACTTTGCCAGTCTAAGGGCTCATTTACAGGGGAAGGAGCTCCAGCGCACAGCCTCAATTCTGTTCCTGTGTGCTGTGTGAAGTGGTGGGGGCGTCCCTTCCCTCCCCTCCAATCAGCTGTCACTGAGCTCTGCAGAGTGTACCTTTTTAGCTATCCACTTCCTGTTTTCTGAAAGCTCAGACAAGCTGTATATATTGTGCACTTTGAAATATCCAATATAAATAATTTATTGACAAATAGGGGAAGATTTACTAAAACTGGTGCACTCCAAATCTGGTGCAGCTGTGCATGGCAGCCAGTCAGCTTCTAACTTCAGCTTGTTCAATTAAATTTTGGCAATAAAACCTGGAAGCGGATTGGTTTCTTTGCAGGGCTGCACCAGATTTTACACTCTCCAGTTTTAGTAAATAAACCCCATAGTATCAATTACATTTAGTTAGCGTGTATCCAGCTTGTGATGCCGAGAGTAGTATCGATCAACACCAAGGGCCCCCCATGTAAATAACACACTCACTGTGAGGTCCTTGGCAAGCCTCGGTCCTCTGATTTCAGACCCACATTGAGCAATGGAAAGCTACATCTAGGGCCGCATCTTGTGCAACAAGCCCACAGCACTACGTGAAGGGGACAATGCGTTTCCAGGGCACCATCCTCTTTCTGAAATCCTTCCTCACACCCCTGTGCCTCAGACATAGTGCTATGGACTTTGATGTTCATCAATAATATGTTTTTTTTTATCTTTTTGACTATATTTGTGTGTTGGAGCGCTTTACATTTGTCTGCACAATCATTGCGGCTTACATTGCAATAAGTATTTTTGTTTCTAAAAATTTTTGTTTTGCAAGAAAACATTCCCAATTTTCTTTTACCGATCAAAAACGATTTCAATTTGACCTTATTAACTATTAGGAAATCGAATGAGCTTTCAAAAAATACTTTTTTCAAACTGAATTCTGCTGGTGTATGGCCAGCTTTTGCTAGAGGGATGCGGGAGAAGGAAGGAAGACAAAGTGCAGTGGTGTCTTTTTAGTATATCCTCTATAGTACCAAGAACAGTTGACATCTAAATGTTCAAATTTAGTTGGTGGGTGTGGGAAATCTAGACCTTCCTTAATACAGGTGCTTTGGTACATATGACACAAAGTTTTTTTGTATTTTTGTAAAGCATGAGGACATTGATCATTTGTATGAGAATGCTGATCATTGCGTTGTCTCACCTTGCAGGAGCATCTTGTTGAACATCAAACCAAGCTGAAGTTGTTTAGCTTGACACCTGGAGAGGACTATGTGGTTCAGGTCCGATGCAAAGCTGACAGCAAGCATTGGAGTGAATGGAGTGAGGAAAGCTATATTAAGATTCCTGGAGGTAATGATCTAGTATATATTACTCATGTTCATGTAGTCTGGCAAAGCTCTTACTGTAAGGCTGCTTTCATACTGGTCTGTTTTCTTCTGCGGAAGAAAAATGTGTGACCATGTATTCCTATGGAACACTTCACACTGATCCGTTGAGGGACCGATGGATTTTTTTAAAATCCTGCTTGCTGCATTGTTGGAGCGGGTTTGGTGCAGAAAAAAAAAAGTGCACCAAAAACACACTTCCTCATTGAAATTAATGGAAAACGTGGCAAAAATGCATCAAAAATTAACCTGCATGTCACATGTCCTTTAAAAAAATGCACTGCTGTAAAAACGCAGATCAGTGTGAAAGTAGTCTAATTTTTTGTTGAGTAGACAAGTGCAGTACAAAGAAATTTGTTTCATTTTGTTTCGTTATTTAAATAATTTTGTTTAATTCGTTTTTGGAATTTGTTTTGTTTTTGTTTTCTAATTCAATTTGAATTTTTTATCAACTCGTTTGAATTGAATTCAGTTCCACCGAATTTGGAAAATTCAAATCAAAAAACATCAAACTGGCATTTGAATTCAAATGTATTCTATTTGAATTTCAAAAGGCAGTTATATTCTTTCTATTTTGTTCTGTTCTATTGTTTTTTTTCTATTCTTTTATTTTCTGTTCTATTCTACACTATTGCCTTATTTTCTATTCTATTTTATTCTATTTATTCTATTTCTCTTTTCTATTCCTTTATTTTCTATTTTATTTTTATTTTCTATCTAGTTTGTTCTGTTTTTATTCTTTCTTTTATTTTCTATCTATTCTTTTATTTTTTATTCTTATCCATTCCATTATTTTGTATTTTATTCCTTGTTCTTTTTTATTCTATTCTTGTTTTTTAATTAGTTTTCGAATTTGATTCAAATTTCAGACTAAATTTTGTTTTTCGTTATTTCGAATTCACTTTAATTCGTTATTATTGTAATTCAGAAATTCAGATACATCCAGATCTCCAAATAATGAAAAACGAAATGCACATGCCTATTGTTGACACTAACAAAAAAAATTGACTGGGGTAACACTAATAAGTTTTTAACTTTATTACTGTAAAGTACACTCCCATTCCAAAAAGAATAATTACACTTTTATGATAAAAAGATAACAGTGAACCATTACGTTTCCACTCAAACCAGAATTAAGAATTGTCGGCAGCTAGAAGTGCAGAAATAATTGTTTGGGTGGGTCAGCTTAAGGGGTTGATGTGACTCATACAGGAGATTCAGGGTTTTGTTTGGGAAAGGCAGATTGAGGGCTTCACCTTGGCTGTAGGTGCAGACCTGGAAACTCTGTATGATACATAAATCATTGTAGTATTCAGCATGCATTGTTACCAATCTTTATTCAAGTGTAGGAAACAAAAATATTAATAAATATTGAAAAAAGAAACAGAAAACTCTTTCATTTTTTTTTTTTTTTTATGCAATGGTGTAGAATTTGTTTTTTACTGGTTAGCTGATATGAGTGCCGAGAATTTCTTGCATTGTGTTTATTACATTTCTATATATAGTTTATGTGTATGTCAAGCCAAAACCTATTTGCTAGTTTTGTACAGAGTGGGGAAGGTTAGATAGAACCCCTGTTGGGTTTTTCTTGTTTTTGGGAATAAAAAACAAGTTTTGGCTGGGCATACACATACCTGTAAATTTTATTTCTTCACTTTATGTTGAGTTATAATGCCCCTTTCATAAATTGAATAGTAAATCTGTTTCTGACCCATTAACGAGATGTTCTGTGTACTCAAGGTCCAAGGAAAAGAGACATGACGCTGTGGATATCAATTGCTGTGCTGTCTGTTATCATTTGTCTCACAATGATTTGGACAATGGCATTGAAAGGATGCAGGTAAGTCTTTTAGTGGTAGAATGTGAGGTTATGGAAAAACTAAAATTTATTTATAGCCAAATCATTGTTTTTTGGGGATAGTGCAGGGCATTGATCTCCAAACTGCTGCCTGGGGCCAAATGCAGCCTTGTGCGTGCTTTTATCCAGCTCTTGGGGCACTATTCCTCTCACTGATATGATGCCTATTGCTCTCACTGACACCAATGATAGGGCACTATTACTTTCACTAAAATCAATAATGAGGTACTATTCCTCCCACTGACACCAATGATGGGACACTAGTCATCCCACTGACACCAACGAAGTGGCACTATTCCTTCCATTGATACAAATGATGAGGCACTAGTCCTTCCACTGATACCAGTGATGGGGCACTACTCATCCCACTGACACCAACAATGGGGCACTATTCCTCCCACTGATACCAATGATGAGGCACTATTCCTTCCACTGATACCAATGATGGGGCACTATTCCTCCCACTGATACCAACAATGACGAGGCACTATTCCTCCCACTGATACCAATGGTCAGGCACTATTCCTCCCACTGATACCAATGATGAGGCACTATTCCTCCCACTGATACCAATGATCAGGCACTATTCCTCCCACTGATACCAATGATGGGGCACTATTCCTTCCACTGATACCAATGATGGGGCACTATTCCTCCCACTGAAACCAATGATGGGGCACTATTCCCCTCCCACTGATACCAACAATGATGGGGGCACTATTCCCACCTTCCACTGATACCAATGATGAGGCACTATTCCTCCACTGATACCAATGATGGGGCACTATTCCTCTCACTGATACCAATGATGATGGGGCACTATTCCTCTCACTGATACCAACAATGATGGGGCACTATTCCTCTCACTAATACCAATGATGGGGCACTATTGCTTCCATTGACACAAATGATGGGGCACTATTCCTCCCACTAATACAAATAATGGGGCACTATTCCTCCCACTAATACCAATGATGGGGTACAATTGCTTCTATTGATACCAATGATGGGGCACTATTCCTCCCACTAACACAAATGATGGGACACTCTTGCCTCCACTAATATGAATGATGGGGCACTATTCCTTCCACTGACACCAATGATAGGGCACTATTCCTCTCACTGACACCAACTATGGGCACTCTTCCCTCCACTGATACCAATGATGGGGCACTATTCCCTCCACTGATACCAATTATGGGACACTCTTCCTTCCACTGATACCAATGATGGGGCACACTATTCCTCCCACTGATACCAATGATGGAGCATTATTCCCTCCACTGATACCAATGATGGGGACATTATTCCCTCCACTGATACAAATTATGGGGCACCATTGCTTCCATTGATACGAATGATGGGGCACTAATCCTCCCACTAATACAAATGATGGGGCACTCTTGCTTCCACTAATATGAATGATGGGGCACTATTCCTTCCACTGACACCAACTCTGGGGCACTATTCCCTCCACTGATACCAATGATGGGGCACTATTCCTCCCACTGATACCAATGATGCATAACTATTACTCCCACTGACACCAACGATGGGGCACTATTCCTCCCACTGATTTCAATGATGGGAAACTATTGCTTCCGCTGACATCAATGATGGGGCACTATTCCTCCCACTGATTTCAATGATGGGAAACTATTGCTTCCGCTGACATCAATGATGGGGCACTATTCCTTCTACTGACACCAGTGATGGGGCACTATTCCTTACACTGATACCAATGATGGGGCACTAATATTTCCCCTAATACTAAAGATGGGGTATTGTTTACTCCCACTGATGCCAGGACTTTCTCTACTCCCACTGGCCATGGTCCGACCCTCCCCCCCCCCCAAAGTCTGAAGAGATTTCTCCAAAGTGAAAAAAGTTTGGAGTTTAAAGCTAGGTTCACATTTTTCAATGTGGGAGTGCAGGTAAAAGTGCACTCGTTCTCAAATGCACAAAAATCCCTTTTGCAAACACACAGTGGTGCCAGGAAATTCTTAATGGCGTCCCAACACGTCCCCTAACATGGTAACAAAGAAATTTGAATTTTCCATAATTTTCTTTTGGGACTGTGGTCACCAATGGTGCTGATGATTATAGGAAATAAATACTTTCTGATGATCTTCAGCAACATCAAGGTATCATAATACAGGACTTTCCATGGCTATGCAACTTTTTCTTAAATAGATATACCCCTATGTGTGTACTTATAGAGAGGATGAGCACTGAAGGTTCAGTAAGAAAGAGTGATGATGCTAGCAAAAACAGGTAGCAATAAAATCTTTTAAGTCACACTAAACAATATTCTTATTCTGAAAAAAAATAATCCATACATACCATATTGGCTCTGTAATCTGTTTTTCATTAAATTATTTCTTACTGTGTTTTTCTGCCTCCCTATACAAAGGGGAGCTCCTGAGCCTCTTCTTTTTCCCCTCACTTCCATTTGTTTGGAACTAGCAGTACATATCAGTTGCAGTCATGTGCACTGCAGTACAAATCCCACAGTCCATAGTAAGAGACGGTCTCTACATTTCAGCATACAGTAGTACCATGGAGAACAAATGTAGTCACTCCCTAATGAGAGGTCAGATAACAGCAACAAAAAAATGGAGATTTGGAGGAGGCTGAGAGCAATAGAAGGGGCTTTTTGAGTTAAGAATACATACCTTGATAAAAATTACTACTTTACTAAAAATGTACAATGTGTAGAGAAGTAGAGTGAAACAGAAGGTTCATTTTAAGATTTCTTTTTTTTTTTTTGCTGGAAATGGAAATCCTGTTTTCTTGACACTCTCCCAGGACTTCTATGAAATTATTATTATTATACAGTATTTATATAGCGCCAAAAGGTTTGCTCAGCGCTGTACATTATAGTGGGGGACAGTACATGAGACAATACAGTAACAAAACAATACACGAGGGGTTCGAGGGCCCTGCTCCTGGAGCTTACAATCTAGGAGACTCGTGAAGGTGGTTTGGATGAGAGAAATATTTTTTATACAGGTTATTTCTATGTAATGCTATGGAATTTCAGTGGAAAGTGGCTGCGTTGATGGCACCAGCACTGCTTACATACAGTGTTGGTGTCCTTGGTTCTCAGTCCCGGTTCACACTAGTGGGGTGCAGGAAATGCTGCAATCCCTGTGCATTTCCTGCACTGCACTGCAAACGCAATGTGTTTTTTACAATCTGCTGTAGTTGTCAATGCAAAGTTAACAAAACCCAAAAGCAGGTCGCAAAAGCAGTGCGTTTGCCTGAATTGGATCGCATGATGCAATTCAGGCACTATTTTGGTGTGGATGCGGTGCAATTTGAGCCGTTCAAAATAAATGGCTCAAATTGCACTTCACAGAATTGCATGTGAATTGCACAGGAATGTGGTGCGATTTCTGTGCGGTTCACAGTGTGGACTTAGGCTAATGAATCTCTCACCTAGGAATGTTTAGATTCTTTCCATGTTAGGTGGGTTTCCTCTGTGCTAGTGGTTGTCAAGTCAACTATTGAGCTAAAGGGGGCCTCAAATGCTGTCCCTGATGTCACCCAGGGGCCACATATAATGTTCAAGATATGTAATGCTTGAGAGGACAGTCAGAAACTGCAGATCTAATAGAGGAAATGAGGGTCAGAGAGCGTGGACAGGATACATTTTTTGCTGGAGATATGCTGCAGAAGACAGTACACAACTAGGAACATGTTACATGAAACTAGTAGAGATCAATTACCCTAATCCATGTCCCCACTACAGACTGTTGAGGTCTGAGGGCCATACATCATACACCAAAGGGTCGTATGCAGCCCTCGGGGACAGTCCACTGTCAGAGCATTGGGAAGGGGAGCGCCAGCTGCTGGAGAGGCAACTCCATACAAACATGGTTTGTTGTGGAGCACAGAACCCTGACCTCAGTCATACTGGGCACCTTTGGGGTGAATTGGAACACTGATTTTGAGCCAAGTCTTTTCCATCTAGCATTAGTATCTAACTTTAAAGATGCTCTTTTAGCTGAATTGCTACCAATTTAAACAGACCCACTCCAAAATTTTGAGGAGAGCCTTCCTTGATGGGTGGAAGCTGTTATAGCTCCAAAGAGGTTAAGTCCATGGTTTTGGAATAGGATACCCAACAAGCTCATATAGGTGAGATGGTCAGGTGTGCACTGACTTTTGGCCACGTAATAATGAATGTCAGCTCTGTACAAATAGTGAATAATTTCTAAATAGATCAGAGGTACTGCAATTTTGGTTGATCAGGTTGGTTTGTTAGATTTTCCTTTCATTTTTCTTTTCTGCCATTTTTTCTTCTAGTTGGATGTCCTGTATATGTCCTCCTGTTCCTGGACCAAAAATAATGGGATTTGATACCCAGCTTCCTCAAGGTAACTGTTCTTTTTTTCTTAAATTTCGCTTATTTGGGAATAACTTTCTAGGATGTGTATCTTATGATTAAGTGCTTGTAGAAATTTAAAATTCATCATTTACAGTGGCAATGGAAATAAAGTAGTTTTGTAGATTATAGTGTAGCCTGCTTTGTTCTAGTCTTTGCTCCATTCTCCCATTTGCTTCAGTTTGGTCTTTGCACCATTCTGGCCCTCCCTGTCCTCTGGTTCCTGCTTGCTTCTGGCTTCACTTTATTCTAGCAGTGGGTGTGTAACCAATGCTTTAGCCTAGTATCTCTCCTCTGACCCTTGCCTGGTGGATTAGTTTCTCTTAGCAAACAGTAGAACTGTGTCCAGGCAATGGACATTTCCAATATTTATATATTCTTAACATACTGGATTGGGGCGTTGCTTCTCCTGAACTCTGTTACATACTACTGATCGCTGCACTCTGCATTACTTACTCCTGACCCTGCACTCAGCATTACATACTACTAATCTCTGAACTTGCATTACATACTTCTGACCCCTGAACTCTGTTACTACTGACACCTAAACTCTGTGTCTCTACTGACCCCCTGAACTCTTAAAACCTTTCTTTGTTTAATGAGGCCTTGCTAAGTTGTCTCCTTAAGAGAAAAACAAAATCTGGGGATCTGTGATCTCTTTCATGTTGTTCAGGTAGATCTCCATCTCTTCAGGGTTTCCTACCTTTGATTTATGCTGTGCACCCAAAAGTATGTGGACACCACTCACGTTCAGGTGTTTCCAAAGAAGGGTACTGTTCTTGCTACAGCATACAAAGACATTTAGACAACCATGCTCATCTTTCTGGTTGCAGTTTGGGGATGGACTTTTTCTGTATGACTGTGCCCCGTGCAAAAAGCCAGGTCTATAAAGATAGTAGTTTGACATGTTTTGTGTGGAAAAACTCAAAGCCCTGGCCCCAAATCTACTGAACATTTTTGGGATTATCTGGAATGCCAGTCATGAACCAGGTCTTCTCCTCCAAATTCAGTCCATGATATCACCAATGCTCCTTTAGCAGAATGGGCACAAATTCCCACAGACAAACTCCAAAACCTTGTAGAAAGCCTTCTCGGAAGAGTGGACAGTGTTTTCGTTTCTAGGGGGAAGGCAACTGCATGTTAATGCCCATGGTTGTGGAACTGAATGTCCAACAAGCGCATATAGGTATGATGGTCAGGTGTCCACAAACATTTGGCTATATGGCATAGATTATTTAAATTATTATAACAGATTGTTCAAGTATTTTACAACCAGATTGTAACATATATGGCTATAACTTGCTCTGAGTATTAGAAATAGAAAGAGAAGTAACATACAGCTATGCTCAAAAGTTTGCATACACTGGCAGAAATAGGGACATGTTGGAATTGATATTAAAAATATGACTGGTCATGCCAAAATATGTATTTTTTTAAGGATAGTGATCATATGAAGCCATTTTTATCAAATAGTTGTTTGGCTCCTTTTTAAATCATAATGATAACAAAAATCACCCAAATGGCCCGGATCAAAAGTTTCCCTCCCCTGGAATGTTTGGCCTTGGTACAGACACACAAGGTGACACACACGAGTTAAAATGGCAATTGCAGGTTAAGTTTAAACATCTGTGGCTTTTTAGATTGCAGTTAGTGTTTGTTTATAAATCAGCAATGAGTTTGTTAGCTCTCATGTGGATGCACTGAGCAAGCTAGATACCGAGCCATGGGGAGCAAAAAAGAACTGTCAAAAGACCTGTGTAACAAGGTACTGGAACTTTATAAAGATGAAAAAGGATATAAAAAATATCCAAAGCCTTGAATATGCCAGTGAGTACTGTTTAATCACTTATTAAGTGGAAAGTTTTGAGATCTCTTGATACCAAGACAAGGTCAGGTAGACCTAGAAAGATTGCAGCCACAATTGCCAGAAGAGTTGTTCAGGATACAAAGAAAAACCGACTGAAAGAAATACAGGCTGCTCTGGAAAAAGACGGTGTGTTTTTTTCAATGAGCACAATACAACGATACTTAAAAAAAAATTAGCTGCATGGTCGAGTTGCCAGAACGAAGCCTTTACTGCACCAATGCCACAAAAAACCCCGGTTACAATATGCCCAACAACACCTTGACACACCTCACAGCTTCTGGCACACTGTAATCTGGAGTGACAAGACCAAAATAGAGCTTTACGGTCACAATCATAAGCACTGTTTGAACTGGGGTCATCAAGGCCTATAGCGACAAGAATTCCACCCCCACTGTGAAGCATGGTGGTGGCTCACTGATATTTTGGGGGTATGTGAGCTCTAAAGGCACAGGGAATCTTGCAAAAATTGATGGCAAGATGAATGCAACATGTTTATCAGAAAATACTGGCAGACAATTTGCATTCTTCTACACAAAAGCTGTGCATTGGACGCTGTTGGACTTTCCAGCATAACAATGAACCTAGGCACAAGACAAGTTGACACTCCAGTGGTTACAGCACAAAAAGGTGATGGTTCTGGAGTGGCCATCACAGTCTCCTGACCTTAATATCATCAAGCCACTCTGGGAAGATGTTAAGCATGCGTTCATGCAAGACGACCAAAGACTTCATGACCTGGAGGCATTTTGCCAAGATGAATGCCACCTGCAAGAATTCGGGGCTTCATAGATAACTCTTACTACTCTTACAAAAGACTGAATGCTGTCATTGATGCTAACGGGGGCAGTACACATAAGAAATAAACGAAATGTGTTTTGCCTGCTCACTCACATACATATTACCAATTCTCCAATGGCAAACATTTGAGCACAACTGCATGTCATTTTGTAACCTTTCACCACTATTTTATGGTACATGTAGACAGTACTATTAACCAGATATAGGTTGTCACTGGATATACATTTCAATGAACTGGTATATTGCATTGACGTATTTTGTTACAGTAATTACATGAGAAATATTTTATTCTACTAAAACCACTTTTTATAGTGTTCTCCGCACAAGTATAAAATTACTTCACCTACTTTACCTTCTGTGGGTTGACTCTTTGTTGCCAGCAGTGCAGAGGGCTGTTTAAGGTCTTGTTCTTCTCAATCTGTTCTAAACTTTAGATGGAACCCCAACCTAATTATTTTCTCAGTTTTGGATAGAGTGGGTATGGTTAAAACCTTTGTTACATTTTCCGTGCTATCAATGAGAATTGTCCGCACCTCCTGTTTTGTGAGACAAAACGATAAGTGAAAAAAAAAATCCCGATTGGGAAACCAAACAGGGTTATACAACTTTACCCCATATCCAAAAAAAAAAAAAGGAAACCTCTACTTCTTGCATTTTGCATTAGCTTGTTGATTAAACCTGATTTGTGACTTAATGTTTAAGGACCCTAATGGCAGTTTTCCTACCAGTTACTCTTTCTTTGGGAACCTGGGCGTTATACAGCTAAAAGTTCCCAAACTTTAACAGCAAATTCCTGATTATGCCAAGTAAATGTTTTTTTTTTCAAGCAACACAAAAGTGCTGGTTTGAATTTTTTATGCTAAATGAAGCTATAACATGATGTATCTAGGAGCAGTTTCTTATTTGTGGTCCAAGTGAAGAACTATTTTGTATGGTATCAAAGAATATCCATTCTTATGGGGTGTACCATCATCCCTATACCATGGAAGGTTATAATCAGAGAAATGTTTATAAGCACTCTGAGTGGGTGCCACCTAATATTACAATTGGAACCTGTGGAATTGCATATGGGTATAACATTAAACACACTTAGGAGAGCAGGGCATATGGATCAGTGTAAGAGTTCATATAGACCTCATTTATTGATGATGAATCTTGTGTTGCTGGTTAAACTATAGTTGGTTATGCCCACAGTTCTCCTGTATAGACTCCTTTGTCACAGACTATATTGGGTATAAGTATCTGATTCCTCTTGCCATCTATGTGATCCAATTTGAAACTAATTCATCTAACATCCTCAGTCACATACATACAAAAAAAATTACAGAACGAGATTATTGGTTCACTCTTCCACAATTGGTTGAAGAATAATTGATGCCAGATATTGATTTTGTGGCATTTAGATATACTGTATATCTACCATAAACAATATCAAAGTGAAGTGAACCTTGTTCATGACACACTTCAATATGTAGTCCTTCCATCAAGTACTCTAACAACAGTGTAACATATTTGGTTACAGTTTTGAGATATATATGTATATATAATATATATATATATATATGTATGTGTGTGTATTGGAGGACCTAAGTGGTTTTTAGTATATAGTGATGTGTAGTTCTTTGCCAGCCAGTGGTGGAACTACCACTTGCGACTGGGCCCTGAGGTCTGCCACCCGGGGGTCTCCAAGAGCCAGCACTGTGGCTCCACAGCAGGTTGCTGGCTGCAGGGCTCTGGGCTGAGAGTGTCTCTCTCACACAGTCCAGAGCCAGAGCAGACAGTTTCCCTCTTCAACAGACGGGAGAGGAGAGAGAGAGCTGGATGTGCTCCTCCTCCTCCCACCCTCTTCTCCTTTGTCTGCCCCGACCACACTGCACTGCCTGGCAGTGCTGTGCCTCATAGAAGGGGATGTGTGGGCATGAAGTTTGAAGTTTGAAGCCCAGCAACCAGATAAGGAAAGGTGCCGACTACCGATGCCTGAGTGAGCGAGCTCACCATCCATCCACCGTAAGTGAATCTACCCCCTCCCTCCCTTCTCTCCTGCCTCCCAGTGAGTATACTAATGTAAGAAGGACACAGATGTAAAGGGTGCTCTATGGACTCTGCTGTAAGGGGGGCTTTGGTGAGAAATCCCCTTACATCAGAGTTCCCCTTTATATCAGAGTCTACAGCATTCCCCCTTACATCAGAGCCCCCCCCCCCATAAAATCAGGTTCCCCTTTACAGTCCAGAGTCCAAAGAGATCGCCTTTACAGTGCAAGTTCTGTGGGCTGTAATGTAAGGGGGGTTTGCAGACTCGAATGTAGGTGGCGTTCTGCTGACTCTGATGTATGGGATGTTTTGCAGACTCTGATGTAAGGAGCACTCTTCAGATTCTGATGTAGGGAGGCTTTGTGGACTCTGCTGTAAGGGGAGCTTTTTGGACTCTTATGTAGAGGGGCTTTTTTTTGGACTCTGATGTAAAGGTCACTCTACTCAAGTTAGCAACCCTACCCAAGACGGCGGGAAGAAGGCCCACTGCAGAACATGTGAAAGGGTCCCGATTTGGGACCATAATAGAGGGCCCCATGATGAGAGTAAAGGGCACTGGGATCCATGGGAACGGCCCCAGTCTCAGAGGGAAGGGGGGTCAGCGGGGCTATTCGTGGTTTTTCCATCGTGGCCCTGAAGGATTCATGGTTTTTTCCATCGTGGCCCTGAAGGTTCTAGTTTATGCCTCTAGTGCCAGCCACAATACAGAGTTTTTTTTTTTCTAACAATGCTTTTAAAGATAATTGTAATTAAAATATGGATTTTTTGTATTGGTATGTGTCTATAACGATATCACAGTACCTTTCAAAAGTCCCCCAAAAAATGTTTCTTTGGTATTGTTTTCAATCAGCAGCCTCTACTGCTGACTTGTAGAGTCACCTTTTGAATCAGTGTAAAATTACAGGTTCTAAAGCCATAAAAAGACATTGCTTACCTGCTGCGACAGGTCTGTGCATGATCACAAAATGGTAGCTATTTAAACAATGAAGCAATGACCATTATCTGGCTATACTAATCTTTATCAAGCCTTACCACAAGTCCCCTAGTGCATTCTGTCGTCATTTTATTAACATTGACTGCTCAAACCATGAAGCACTCGTTGGCTGTATTTGATACTCCTAACCATGAATAGTTTCAAAAAGTCCTTTAGTGAGATGATCATTTGTACCAAGTGCTCCTCAGTACACATCCAAACATTCACCCCAACAGTCTCTTTAGTGAGTTCTAGTAGGTGAAGCCCAAGACAAGGGTTCATTCTTATATTTTAACTACTGAGAGGTTGCAGAAGGAACTTGCCCCTATATGAGATGGTGAATTCATTTTACACTTGCCCGGAGAACCACTTTCACTTGAGTTTTCTTGTACTGTATTCCTGCCAAAACGTAAGGCAACAAAAACCCTTCTGGCCCTAAAGAAGGCCTGAGGAAATGGTGACATAACCTGAAACCCAGCACTAGGCCTTACTCTGATTTGCTCCTTTATAAACCAATCAAAAGCAGGAATGGCAATCCAGAGCAGAACATTTCCATTATAAGGGAATTTTGTTTGCTCTCTGCACACACAGCTCAGGTCGGGCCACTATGAAAGATATAGTCATGGCAGCTACAAGGATACCGATGTAGAATTCATGTGTAAGTATGTGCTAACTGCTTATTACTTTCCAAGGTACTGTGTAATCCAATGACTCCTAGGGCTTGTGTGCACTGGCATGTTGTCTAGTATATTGCTTTAAATTATTGGTTATTGATTCTTAAAAGGGAACTCCTAATAAACAGAAATGGGTAGTTGAAACATGTAGTTTTAACTGCTGCAATACTTGTAATTCCATCTAAGCAATCATGTGATTCACACATCAGTGCCAGGTCAATTTAGTCTGAATATGACCATCCATATTGAAATTCCCATCTGCCAAAAATAAGTAGGCCTGCCTGATCGGATACAAATTGAATGAATTGATCAGGTATGCTAACATAGTTTTAGTGACTCTAAAAATGATTGTACAATTAGGTTGTATTGTTTATGGCCAAGAGTTACATCCCTATTTAAAGCCTGTAGCTCTGCGTGTTTCTAGGTTACCTTCCTGCCTCTAGTCTCTAGCACAAAGCTATTGCAGCCTATAGGGAGAATAGAGTTACACATAGAGAAGCATTGATATGTTCTATAACATACATACAGCCAATTTATTCTAAATTTACCTTAAATTGCCATTCTGAAAATTGCTTGGTATTCTGCAAAAAAGAAGTCCGCTACAAAGCTTTTGGGTAGACCTATTTTGTGGAAAACAGAAATTAGAGATATTTGCCATTACTCAAACTTTGTGACATATACAGTTGCAAGAAAAAGTATGTGAACCCCTTGGGATTACGTGGAGTTTTGCATGAATTGGGCATAAAATGCGCTCTGAACGTTATCTAAGTCACAACAATAGAAGAACACAGTCTGCTGAACATAATACTACACAAACATTAGATGTTGCCATGGTTTAATTGCACATAACATGTAAACATTCACAGTGCAGGGAGGAAAAAGTATGTGAGGCCCTAGCTTAATGACTTCTCCCAGAGCTAATTGGAGCCAGGAGTGAGCCAACCTTGACTCCAATCAGTGTGATGATATTGGATGTGTTTCTGACAGCTGTCCTGCCCTTAAAAAACACACACCTGTTTTGGGTTTACTGGTTTCAAGAAGCACTGTCTGATGTGAACCATGCCTCGCAGAAAAGAGCTCTCAGAAGACCTACGATCAAGAATTGTTGACTTGCATGAAGCTGGAAAGGGTTACAAAAGTATCTCCAAAAGCCTTGATGTTCATGTGTCCATGGTAAGACAAACTGTCTACAAATGGAGAAAGTTTAGCACTGTTGCTACTCTCCCTAGGCGTGGTCGTCCTGTAAAAATGACTGCAAGAGCACAGCGCAGAATGCTGCATGAGGTAAAGAAAAATCCCAGAGTGTCAGCTAAAGACCTACAGAAATCTCTGGCACATGCTAACATTTTTGTTGACACATCTACAATAAGGAAAACATTAAACAAGAATGGAGTACATGGGAGGACACCACAGAGGAAGCCATTGCTGTCCAAAAAGAATATTGCAGCACCTTTGAAGTTTGCAAAAGAGCACCTGGATGTTCCACAGCACTACTGGCAAAATATACTGTGGAAAGATGAAACCAAGATTGAGTTGTTTGGGAAGAACACACAACACTATGTGTGGAGAAAAAAAGGCACAGCATACCAACATCAAAACCTCATCCCCACTGTAAAACATGGTGGAGGGAGCATCATGGTTTGGGGCTGCTTTGCTACCTCAGGGCCTGGACGGATTGTTGTCATTGATGGGAAAATGAATTCCAGAGTTTATCAAGACATTTTGCAGGAAAACGTACGACCATCTGTCTGCCAACTGAAGCTCCGCAGAGGATGGGTGATGCAACAGGACAATGACCCAAAGCATACAAGTAATTCAACAAAACAATGGCTGCAACAGCACAGAATACGCCTTCTGGAGTGGCCCAGTCAGAGTCCTGACCTCAACCCGATTGAAATGCTGTGGCATGACCTTAAGAGAGCGATTCACACCAGACATCCCAAGAATATTGCTACACTGAAACAGTTTTGTGAAGAGGAGTGGTCCAAAATTACTCCAGATCGTTGCACAGGTCTGATCTGCAACTACAGGAAACGTTTGGTTGAGATTATTGCTGCCAACGGAGGGTCAACCAGTTAATAAGTCCAAAGGTTCACATACTTTTTCCTCCCTGCACTGTGAATGTTTACATGTTATGTGCAATTAAACCATGGCAACATCTAATGTTTGTGTAGTATTATGTTCAGCAGACAGTATTCTTCTATTGTTGTGACTTAGATGACGTTCAGAGCACAGTTTTATGCCCAATTCATGCAAAACTCCACGTAATCCCAAGGGGTTCACATACTTTTTCTTGCAACTGTATATATAGATTCAGTTCAAAATACCTATTAAAGCTTTATTGATAACTCTGTATGTACAAAAGCACAAATCAAATACAGTATTTGTTTATGGAAAAAGACTAATATAAAAACTCTGGTGCACACAAGCCAGTACATGGAGTGTAATTATCTATGTTTTTGTTGTCTTGTTGTTCAGTTACATTCTTAAAGTTTTTTTTTTCATTTCATTTCTTGCCAGAGCGGGAAATCTGAAGACCTGTTGAGTGCCTTTGGCTGTCAAGGATTTCCTCCAACCTCTGACTGCGAAGACCTCTTGGTGGAGTTTTTAGAGGTGGATGACAGCAAGGAGCACCTTATGTCCAGTCCAGAAAGGGACTCACAAAGCCACCATAATAAAGTTTCCCCTGTAGACACAGACAATGACTCTGGAAGAGGGAGCTGTGACAGTCCCTTTGTTCCCTCTGAAGGAAGGAAGGACCAACGGGTCGTCTCTCAGGGTTTCGAGAGTGCTGAAAACAGTACTCCTGAGCCTTCTGCAACTACATGCCCTTGGCCGCTACAAAATAAGCTGGATGCCTCATTTTCAAACTACAGTGATAACAGTTCTTTTAAGTGGCCTGATGGCACTGCAGCGGATAACCCATCTCCAAAGTCATCATACCACAACATCACAGATGTTTGCAAGCTAGCCCTTGGCGCCATGAAAGTCAACACGCCAGCATTTCTGATGCCAAATGAAGTAAACAGCCAGCAGAGATACTTTAGAACAATAGAGACCATTGGTGAGGAGGGCCGAAACAAGCAGATTGACTTGGCAAATTTGCATTCCAAGGGCATGGACCCTGATATGCTACTTTTACTGGCCAACCAGAAGACTTCTTTCATACTTCCTCGAGCCATGGACTATGTGGAAGTTCATAAAGTTAACCAAAACAATGCCCTAGCATTAATACCAAAACACAAAGAAAACAGAGGCAAAACAGACCAATATTCAGTACTAGTTGCAAACAGGGAATATTCAAAAGTGGAAGGGGTAGAGGGAAACAATGTTTTAGTACTAATGCCAAATCCGGACATTCAGGTCAGCCCTTCCAGTGGTGAAGCTATGAAGGAGTTTGCTCAAAAGGCCCAACAGAGCCAAGCTGTGGGCTTCATCAGACCAGCTTACAATGAAGGTGATATGCATTCTGCTGGGATGGGGTATATGGATCCCTCAAGTTTTATGCCTTGATCTTGTTTAATGGGCAGCTCCACAGTGATATATTAAGTCAGGACCAGTAGAGCAGAGTGGCAGTGAGTGTACTGTGTAGACTGCACTCACCTCAGTGTCCCCAATACTGTGATCTGCTACTTCAGAGTACCAGTTTGAGTGACTTTCAGTTCCTGTGTCCCACTCATAAAGCCCAACTCCAGCCAAAACCTATATTATTTTAAATGGAATTCACAATAAATACTGTCAGACTTTTATTACTGACTGTGATCCCATTGGGGAAAATGTGACTGCAGTTGCTGTCCCTCTGACAGCCTGCGACAGTAGGGTAAGAGATTAAGTGATCGGTCGTCACCAAGGCAAAAAAATGACAAATAGTAAGAATCACCTGACAGAGGTTCTAACCCTTCCCCATTTCACTGAAAAAAATGTGTTTTGTTGCAGCCTGTGTCCTCGCTGGAGAGACTTCCCATAACATCCGGTCTTAACAGAAAGTGAGAGAGATCTCCACAATGAGAAAACCTCAGTAAAAAAATTTTTTTAAACGTTTATGCCGTCCTCATGCTGTCCAAACTGAAAAAAGTTTTGACCGAAGTTGCGATTTATGCTTAGAGTGTTTGATTTTTCTCAGGCCTGACACCTGGTGAAGACTGAGATGTAAACACTGGTCATGAAAACGGCCCAGGTCAGGCTTTAAGCAGAGGGTCAGTAACAGACACTTTAAGCTTGTATTCCTCGCACTTCTCTCACCCCTGACTGTTGGATTAGTGTGACCTTTCTCTTTAAATTTAGCCATGCTATAGACATTCAAAGATTTACGTATTCTTAGCAAGCAATAAATGAGCTTTAACACCAGCACTAGCTGAGATATGTAGCTACAGGTACTGTGGAGTACTGCATCCTCAAATTTCAGAGCAGAAACAGTAGTCCTTCAATTCTTTCAAATTTCACAGTAAAAGTCCTTCAAGTCTAGCCTATGCACTCTGCTGACTCTTCTCTGCCCTTGCACCTGCTCTGTGTTAACATTAGAGATTAGAATTCACTGCCCCCCAGGTTAAACAGAGCTAATGTGTCACTGCGGTGAATGCAGAGCAGGGGAAGCCGAGCTATTGTGTCACTGCTGAGCTGTTAAATCACAGCTGGGGTGGGGAGCAGGGGTTGAAAATCTAAGTGTTTTGCTGTAAACTTTGAATTGTTCCACAGTGTCTACAGCCACAAAGATCAGTGGGGGATTTTGTTCAAATCTTCTTATTTACTGTTTGTTAAGAATATATCAGTATTCTGAGATCCATAGCTTGACCAAGGTCTATTTTAAGGTTTATTGGTCAACGTCTCACAGCCAGGCTGGAACAAATTTGCAGCTGTACATAACAGCCAATCAGGTTTCATCTTTCTAATTAAATGGGCAATATGTTTTTTATGAACACATTTATTTACTCCAGTTTTTGAAAACCAGCCCCAGCAAATACAGGTCTTCTTTTTTTTTGTGTGTGGCGAACCAATATTTCTCTTACCCATTTAGTCCTATCTGGTGTGCGAACTTGAGGTTTGCGGCACTTGAGGCCTTACTCGCATAACTCATTTTTAGTAAATTATGTTATGATCAATGTGGGACAAAATGGCTGCTTTTCTGTCAAAGGAGATGGGTCTGCTCTGAATTGCATTTATGTTTCATGGTTGCATTTTCAGGTACAGTTGCACAGTAAGGACAATCCAGGTCAGAGTGTGTAGATCTGTAATGTTTTTTTATAATTTTTGCCATCAAGTTAAAGCCCAACTCCAGCCCAAACTTTTTTTTTATGTTTAGAATACAATGGGGCAGGGTGATAACTTTTTTTCTATGCTGTTATTTCTGTGTGGGTCCCTGTTGGAGAGATATCCCTCACTTCCTATCATAGCGACACTAAGAGTAACAAGATAGGATAGGAATTGAGGAGGAAATGGCCAAATAAGTACAAAGAGCAACATTTCCCTCCTATAAAAAAAAATGTAATATATGTGTTTTCTTATATTAGTTTTGCACAGAGCAATGTTTTATTGCCTTCTGTGCCATTGTTGACAAAAAATTCTCCAATTTAGGCACAGACAAAAAAAGAGGAAAAAAAACATATTTTTAGTAGACTCTGGAAAGGTTAGAACCTCTGCCAATTGTTTAATGCCTGTCCCTGACAACTGCATGCCCCATTCCGTGAACAGACATCACAAAGACTGGAAGTGAAGGAAAGTCTCCATGATGGGACATCATGGACAAAAATGATAATTCTTCCCTCCTCTGTTCAAAACTAGAAAGAAAACGTTTGGCTGGAATTAGGGCTTACGGTGATACAGAGAGATGAAACAAATCCTGCTACATAAGTTGTACCTGTTTATCTGCAGTCTTCTCTTCTCTACATCGGTTCAAAGTGCAGAATTTATAAATCTTGTATGAGCTTTCAGAAATAAGGGGGCAGGGAACTGAAATTACACTGTGAGTAGAGCCCCCCCCCCCCCCCCATCCACACAGCACACAGGAACAGAGCTGAGGTTGGAGATCCCTCACCTGTCACCTTTTTTTCTCTTGGTATCAGGAAAACTTGTCAGAAGTGATTCATGCAGATAGCAGAGGAGTGAAGCAGTAGACAGAAATGGCACTTAGTACTCTGAATTGACAAAAGCACACACTACAGAGGAATATGCTTTGTTTATATTTCATGTCTGAGATTTACAATCACTTTAAAGCTGAAATAAGCCCCCCAATTTACTTGATTCCCAAGTATGCTACAGTCAAGGCATGCTTCTTCTGAAAACTGTCACAATTGCCAGTGTGCTTAAATCTGCTGCCAACCAAACTTTAAGCATTTAAGTAGCTGATGTCATAGCTAATCACATGTGGAGGATAGGATAGGAGATTTTTAGTTCTGCTTTAATGGCTACGCAGGTGGTCTCTGTGCAAAGTGATCCAGAATCTCCTATGATGAGGATCAGACTGATTTGGTATAGGAAGGGGTATGCAAAGCATGGTCCCTCATAACCGTCAATGAATTTGTGGAAGCTGTGTTGAAACTATTACGTACAGTGTTCATAGATGCCAACTGTGCCAGATTTGCAGGAACAGTCCTGCATTTTGTTCCTTTATCCCAATGATGCGATGTCCTGGGATCACACCATCGTCCTTATTTGGGTCATTGAGCAAAGGGTATTGCCACCACTTACAGCCGTGATTACAGGGTTCCAACATAATTAGGGGGAGAGACCACCCAGAAAATGGTTGTGATCTGAGCAGAACCACCCACAGAACACCAGAAGCTTCATATATTGAACATATAGCAACTTCGGTCAACACAAAACTGGGTTATTGAGACCTGAATGTCTGTGTAGCTTAGTCCTATATTTATCCCTAATAGTCCCAGGCAGAACAAATCTATTTATATGAACTGTTTTTATTTTTTTGTCGTTTAATTTTACTACCTTGTACTCTTGTCACTTTATATACAACTACATACACACTAAAAGGCTTATCTTGTTACGTTCTGTGCAGCGGTGATATGCCCTGGGGCCGCTCATCAAGATTTTGATTTCATTTGCTTTCTTTTGCATTCGGCCATCGAAAGCCTATTTTACCATTCTTCACCTTAGCACAGTGCTGCATGTTTAAGCCTTTATATGAAAGCTAAATTGGCAGTGCAGAAAAGGGATAGTTGCAAGTTGCTTGAGACGCACTTTGAGCAAAGGACGTGGGCCCACATGTAAAGCCATAAAGAGCACCTGTCACAAAGCGTTGCCCATGTGCAGCGTATGTATTCATGTCATTGGCTTTGTAGGTTTATTTCCAGTCATGGTTGTGTATTTCACAAATCATCTATCTTATTTGACTACAGATTGCAGGTGTTCTAACGAGAGCATCCAAAATAAAGTTACAATTTAAATTTTCATTTTATGACACTACAGCCTTATTGTAAGCAAATTATAATGGTGGGGAGGAGAGATGTTTCTGAATATTTTGCTAAAGTGATTTTATTGAGTTTTGGTTGGTACTCTGATATTGTTTTCAGGTTTGTTCCTACCACAGGAAGGTTCCTTGTCATCTTCCTTCTAAATACTGGGGAAGCTGCATCAAGGGCCTATACTGTGTATTCCTGTGCTTGATAGGCTGCCCATCTAGCCTATCAAGTCTGCCCATGATTAGGAAGGGGCAAAGCTTGATAAAGAGAAAGGCGTTTTTGCTAAATGTGGTCTACAGTTGAGGCCTCAAGTGGCATTTTTCAGAAGATGACTCTTGATTGGAAAACACGACATATAGTAGAGTCACTCACACCTAGTGGGTTTTATCCTGAGTAGGCTTGCATGGCATGATGAACATTTCCTGACCACAGGAAGCCAACATGCTTTCCTATGCCATCTAGAAGTAGGGAGCCATTGCTTTCTCCAACAGTGCAGAAATAGCCTGTCAAACAATCGAGGAACACTGTTGCTATTGGATGACATGCTTAGAGGACAGATTGGGGTTTATTTACTAAAGCTGGAGAGACAGACTCCCTTCTGCATAGAAACCAATCAGCTTCCAGGTTTCATTGTTCATTGAACAAGCTGAGGTTAGAAGCTATTGGTTTCTATGCAGAAGGGAGTCTGATTTTGAACTCTTCAGGTAAATAAACCCCATTATGTTTTTGAGACCCTAAATGCATATGTTCATCCATGTATCTGGAGCAGACTAGGCTTAGAGCCCATAGATTTCTCAGACATCAACCAGCCAAGAATGGTAAAGACAATTGTCTAAAGCAGTCTTTCTCCCTGGAGGAACCCTTGAAATTATTTTCAGGTTTCAGGGAACCCTTGCTAAAACCAATTCTGTTAAGGTAAGTGGGAAAAACGTCCCTTGTTTTGGTGGCCAGTAGGAAGAATGCAGTGGCAGTTTGAATGCTTCCCTTACAGACATCTGTGAAGATCACTGTTGCTATCAGGCTTACTCTGCCAAGGAATGTTGACTCCAGAACTCTGAAGGCACCATTAAATGGAAGGTCAGTGAGCCACAGCTAAAGGAA